GCTGTGCCTGGTAGAATGCCTGTGTGGGCGCTGTGCAAGTTATATTTAGTGACTTAAGCTACGGGCACACAGGTGCACATATGCTGTGAGCGATGTGGCTAGCTGCCGAGGTGTTGTCGCCGATAGTGATCAGCCCGCGTTGCCAGTGCCGGTGCCACCAATTGTCTATAGGAGGGACGAGGTCATAAAACCACCACGACACTGGAATGAAAAGAAATGGATGGGAAATCACGGATTTAATGCCTGGCGTTCTCGCAAAGGATCGTTGGTATGCAAATTCCTCATGCGTCTTGAACTGCACCGCAGTAAGTCATGGGGACGCGGAAACGGGAGACGGGGCAGGGGCTGGGAGCCACAACATCGGCCTTTTGGCTGGAAAGAGATATACCATATGGCTGTCACCCCCTCGCCCTCCCAACATTCGCTGCTCCATGCCGGCGGAAAACATAATGTCGCCATGCCGTAGCTTCCTCTCAGCACAGTGCATATGACCGTCTGGACCAGTCAGCCATATAATGTACCAGTGTATAAAGGTGTGCATGTACCGTGACCGAAATTTGCCAGCGTAATATTTCGTGTCTTTGTATCCTGCAGGTACACTTTGGCTTGTGCGCTTGATTCCAAAGGTTGTTTTCTTTGCTTATGGAAAATAATAAAATAAAAGTGAGCAGGTCTGGCCATTTATTACGGTGTTGATAAAACATCCCAACGGCATGCTGGCTGATGATCACGGAGTTTACATGCGCCTTCCAGGTTTGCACCACCACCGCTTATGACGTGGTACTTAGCGCTGCCAAGCGTTCTTTGATTTGATGCGTTTTAGTTGGCAAAAGGGACTGCCACATGAACTGGATCGATTTGATCCCGGGGAAGACGAGCACCTAACACACTGCTGCGGCGTTGACCTTCATCTGCGTCAACACTAAGCCGAGAAGGTTTCCACATCCTCGCCGCTAGCGAACCAAGGGAAGTTGTCAGGGCGCTATCCAAAGGACGTTGTTAGGGCTACGGGACTATATGCATGTATATACACGGTAGAGTTCTTTGCCATCAGTAAGACACTGCTTTATGCAGGTGGACGAAGATACCTTGCACGTGGTCTCATCAGCCTCACTAAGAAGTCTTTTGGCATTAAGACGGTATAATCCTACAAATCCCTTTGTACAAGACATTCTATTACGTCTTGGCTCCTTGGGCGAGACCAGGGAGATCATGGCGCTGCTGCGCGGGGTTCCAAGCGACGTGGGAATCGCGGGCAATGAGCTTACCGACGCCGACGTAGTGCGCTTCGTCCCTCCACAGGGCGTAGCAAACACCCGCTACGGACTTACGCCCAACCATATCTTCCTATTTACGAGGCCAATGGCAGAGCACATGGGACGCGGTGAGCATTAGCAAACTGAAAATGATTAAGCCGGTTATCCAGGAATGGCAGTCATCCTAAAGGAACTCAAAGCGGGAAGAAATCATGGTGAGTCGACTGCGGATCGGCCGTGCTTACGCCATCCTTGGATGCCTGTTGAATCGCGATGAACCACCTCGATGTCGCCAGTGTAACAACGCTTCCTGTGCGGCCCGTGCCCGGCTCTTGTCCCGCATTGCGGGTGGAACGTCTGCGATTCTTCAGCCCGACTGCGCCGTCTCTCACGCTCTCCGTTTGACTCGGCGGTGACTGAATACACATCGAACACCGCCTTAAATTTCTTTCGCGTGTTGGCTTCTGTTCTATACAGTTCTGTTCTATATAGTTCGCGCCACATAATAGCCACTTTGAAAGTTTCGAGCACCTTTGATGAGGGCATACGTTAAAGGCGCTATGTGATCGCGCAGTCTAAGCGCCCGAAGGCTCCAGCCACTTCTTCTACGTGTCGTTCATGCACGGCATGGTATATGAGAATGCCAAAAAAGAAGAAATAAATCCATTGCTGGTCTGAAATGTTGACAGCATAATGTGAGCTCGGAAGTAGATTAGCTTAATTTGCACAAAAATACTGTGCTGGTGATGCAGTTCCGCTTTCCATTGCTCTTAATATTCACGACAGGTCCTGAGGGCTCACCAGATTATGTTTTTGAAATTTGGTCAAAATGTGGAACATTCCCTTTAACCCTCGATGTCGTTAACAGCGTCGCACCACGAGAGCCGCGTCGGACGGACGGCGCAGGGCCGATCCCGGTTTCTGAGACCTTTGTGAGATTTGGCGCCGTCTCTCGCGCTCGCGGTCGCCGCCCTACGAGCGAGTCTCGCCGTCATGCCCTTCAGCCGGTCGTGGCAAGGCCGCCGACTTCCGGCGCTCTAGCCTGCAGCACGGCGGTGCAGAGCGGTGGCACGCAGCGATCAATGGCCTATGATGGTTGATGCATGTGACGGCTGTGCAGCTTCGGTCCGCCCGTCACGCCGGTGAGTCATTCGCGGTGTACCCTTTTCGTTGACTCGCCCCATGCGCGGGTAAAACCCTCATACAGTGGACAGTACAGCCGCCCGCGTGCTGATGCTATCCGTCGCATGACTCCCACCGCCGCCGCGTTCCTGCCTGGTGGAGTCATGTCTGACGTCATCAGCGCGACTCAGTCGGCGGTGATGTCAGCTCTGGCGTGACTCGGCCGCACCCAGTGCAGAGTCTTCGCCATGACGTCACGGCATTGGTACGCGGGGAGGAGAAAGAGCTGAACCGCGTCCGGGTGCAACCCTCGCCGGACGGGGTTCAGCCAGTGCAGTGATGCCGGGCGGCGCTCGCTGCTCCACACGGACCGGTTCATCCCCCCCTCCCCCCCCCCCCCGTCGCGCCATTCGCGACGTCACGGCGAAGACTCGGCTCCGGGTGCGGCCGAGTCGCGCCAGAGCACGTCATCAGCGCGGACCGGCTGGCGGAGTCAGCACTGATGACGTAAGACATTAATGTTCCCCTCGCCTTCTCCCGTTCCTCGGACTCTCGTTCATCCGAATAGTTGACCTTGCGCCTCTCCAACCCTCCCATCCTCCCATGCTCTCCGACCCTCTCCGATCCTCCCCGACCTTCCGCCCCTCTGATCCCCCGTCTCTCCGACCCTCCGTCGCTCTGACCCTTCGAGCCTTCGACCCTCCGCATCCCTTCGCGTTCCTCCGTGTCATCCTGGCTGCCTTCCTCCTCCCCAGACATCAGACCCCGTCACTCCCCGACACCCACCTTGACCTGACCTTGACATGCATTCTTGTGCTGACTGATGGAGCAGTCAGCCGGCTCTCCGACAGCGTTTTCCCGGGTCCGCATTCCACAAAGATTGCGGTTTCTTGTCTCGTTCTTACGTGGCCGGGTCCTGTCATCCGCCTTGGGCATCATCTGGGCATGCACGATGACTCGTCTGGTTCGCCCGTATGCATGCTCACCCCTTCATGTCGCCTGTTGCCTTCAGAACATTTATTTCCTCAACGTAACGTCCCTCCCCCTGCTGTACCGAGCTGGTGCGTCGCGCATCATTCCGGGAAGATTGCTTCATTCCTGAGTCATTCCAGCTGCAGTACTCAGACGTGCGCACTTGCGTGGGGCAGCTGCCGGTGCGCGGGGCGTCACCAGTGACACCATCGCGTCCGCTCTGTTAAGTGCGCTTCTCAGTCGAGTACCGCTCACTCCGCGCGACGGTACATACAGCGAGCGCGCCTGCTCCGACAGAGTTCGGGGAAGTGTGGCGCCTCAGTCGCGTCGCGTGATGCTCGGCATGCGCCGCTGTTTCGCGGATTGCCGCTGCCGCCTGTAATCCCGCTGCCCTGACCGCAGGGCTGGCCGGCCCCGCCGCTCGCCGGCGCCCGCCCGCTGGCGCCCCGCCGCGACAGACAGAAAGTAGCAGTTAAGGTGCTTAAGCTCTGGAAGAGGGAGGAGGCAGTGATGGAGAAGGTTTTTGGCGCATGGGGGTAGAAGATCTGGACCCCCTCCCTAAAACCGGGAGTGGACCCCAAGTGAGGGTGGGGCTGGAGCCTCCCGCCTAGAGGGTTCGTACCTTTAAAAGTGGAATAGAACGGTTAGTTAGGATCCACTATTTAGGCGCATGATCACATGCGCGGGCGTGTGTTTACTAGGACGCCTACGGACGCTCACGCACACGCACACGCGTGTGCGTGAGCGTGTGCGTGCACTTATACACACCGAAACGCACCGATAATTGCTGTTATGGGACTGTTCTCACCGCAAAGGCAGGAGCAATGAATAGTGATGTTAGATTGGCATTATGCATTGCCCTTACAACGGAGGTTTCCGAACAAAACAAGACGCTGCATAGTTTTTTAGGTGTTGTATGCGTCATACATTTTACCTACATCGACTTGAAATCTTCACGATCGTGGATGAAATATACCAAGGATCGGAAACCACCCGTTTTAGCCACCTCCTAATAAAAAGTTGTTTTCTGACCCTTATCTCCAGCCATGCGAGTATACTGCCATGCCGAGTAACTGGCGGGCCGTCAATGAATTCTCGGAAGCTCCGGACCTCCCTCGATGCTCTAGTAACGTGCCGCGTGATGTCAGCATGTGGAGCAGCGCCTTTAATGGCTTGGAGCCCTTGCAATGCGCGGCAGAGCCGGAACTGGTCCATCCGGCGCCGGCCGGCTCGGGGGGCGCGGCCGCACCCCGGAAGGCGTCACGTGCGCGCTGCTGCCCTTATCGGAGAGCCGCCACCGGTGGCCAACCGGCGCGGAGGCCAGAACGAACTGCTATCGTGCTTCACACTCAAATGGACTGCTCACAGAGGCTATTCGGAAAGGGTGATAGCGCGGTGAGAGAGCGGACAGGCACGGGATATCGTGTTTTTTTCACCACGTTGCTGGCGGCCTCACCGTTATGTCCCGGGTTCGAGCTGGATGGCTGCGATTTGCCACTTGCTAGGAGGCATTTAATTGTCGTAAGTTCTAATACTACCATGCGTGCTGGTGATGCCCATGCGTTACGTGTGAGTACCCCGACGGCTGTTTCAGTCTCCACCAGCCGGCTGTTATAGCGCGACTAGACCTGACCTGACCTCTGCCTGCAGCTGGCCTGGTTCGGCAGCTACAGTCGCAGCCTAGCCGGCTACATGCGCTCCATCGGCGAGACCGGTCTCAACCTGACCGACGACCTACAGCCGCCCAAACACCTGTACATCGAGGTCAGTGGTGATGAGGGGTGGCACGCCTGCGACTGTACTCTGGGATCCGCCGTCCCAGCACCGCGGGTCGCTAGTCACAGAGTCCCGCCCGGCAGCCGTCGTCGTCATTGAGTCCTCGCGACGCAACTAGCGGCTGATGCTCCATGGCGTCGCCTGCTTTACACTCTGACAAGATGAGCGGACGCCGCAGAGAATCGAACTCTACGCCTCTAGTTTCCCAGATGCGCAGGTTAAATGCAATATTCTACATTTGAAGACATTTAAGCAACCATTAGAATGATGAAATATGCTCACTTATAGCTAGTGGTGTACTTTTAAGCGGAAAAGGCTGCTCCAGACAAGGCATGTTCTCTAGTTAGTCAATCTGCTCTTCAATATGTCATTTTTATTGCGTCGTCGTACCTTGCACAGCATTGATTGAGAGCCAACTGACGGCCGTGATAGGAAATCGCGTGCACGAACGCCAGGTATGAACGAATCGACAATTATATTTTTCGGCCGTGATGCCTGCATGGCTAATGAAATAGACATTATTAAGGCGTTAGGGATGCCCGGGTGACCTTGAAATTGCCTCCCGAAACGGTTTGCACACCTTCGCGGGCGTGCAGCTCAGAAACTAGAGGGGCTTAGGTCTTGAAAAGGGCAGGGGTGTGAACTGCACCGAGGTGTCTTTAAGATGACCATTTCAGTTCAAAGCTGCAGACAAATGTGGATCACTTCCTTTAACCACTGCAGTACCGGAACCCACCGTCAAAAACTTCCAGCGTCTGTGCCCACTAGAGGTGACAGCGTTCCTCTTGACACTTGTACCTACCCGGACCTGCCAAGGCAACAGCGGATGACGCTCCCCGCCCGACAGTGCGCAGTGCGTCCCGCGCCCGACTGCGCTGGTCCCGCCCGACAGTGCGCAGTGCGCCCCGCGCCCGACTGGGCTGGTCCCGGCCGACAGTCCACAGTGCGTCCCGCGCCCGACTGGGCTGGTCCCGCCCGACAGTCCGCAGTGCGTCCCGCGCCCGACTGGGCTGGATCCCGGCCGACAGTCCACAGTGCGTCCCGCACCCGGCTGGGCTGGTCCCGGCCGACAGTCCACAGTGCGTCCCGCGCCCGACTGGGCTGGTCCCGGCCGACAGTCCACAGTGCGCCCCGCGCCCGACTGGGCTGGTCTGACCCTCACTGCCGCTCCTGCACCATCCTGCACAGTTTGGGCATGCTTCGGTCCTGTTTTCGAGCGCAGATAGGATGGGATGCGGTGAGATGAGGCCAACGGGGCTCTTCCCGTGGCGCATCTGAAAAGGTGTGCTTTGGGAGAACCGGGCGAGGAAACTCCCATTCACAACGTGTCTTGTTGGCTTTACTATACTGCAGCCGATTCCGCCAATGCATCCTTTTCCGAGATATGCGACGGGGACAGCCCCAGTGTTTGTACTCAACGACCTTTGAAACACTACGCCCCAACATGCGATGGGAAATACCCGCGGAAGTTGTAATGCCACTAACACATCATGAAGGTGATATAAATCGCAGTTATAATTTTGTTTGTAACATTTTGTCCTGTCCTCCAAGTTGGATGTATTTGGACAGGCACCTGCGCTCGCCAGTGTATGTTCCTTTAGTCCTGGCACCACCATCCTTTGGTGAAATTCCGTATTCACGGCAGAATATTGCGGTGGAGGTTTAACGTTCCGCAATGTCGGGCACGACCTACCCTACCCTATGACGCTACCGCTTTTTTCTTTTGTTTTTGGTCTGTGTGTGTGTGTGTGTGTGTGTGTGTGTGTGTGTGTGTGTGTGTGTGTGTGTGTGTGTGTGTGTGTGTGTGTGTGTGTGTGTGTGTGTGTGTGTGTGTGTGTGTGCGTGCGTGCGTGCGTGCGTGCGTGCGTGCGTGCGTGCGTGCTGCCGTCGCCACCAGCATAAAATCATTATTTTGTATTTTTTATAGTATTTTCATGATTATATTGCATTGCATCATTATTCACTCCAATATCATTTCATTTCGATTCACGTTCACTAGTGGTACATTGATTTTCATCATGGCCATAAGGCCAGGAGGTGGGCCAATACGATTCTACGCCTATGGAAATCCACCTAGACTGTGCCGTCAGTGGATTGGAAAGTCCGTCTTGGCTGGGATTTGAGCTGGTAGATATTTACTGACGGGGTCTTTGTGTGCCAATTCACACGTCACGATTCTTAAACAATGACAACCTGTGTTTGCCCAGGCCTGGTAACTTCAGTCGACGGAATTGACGAAATGGTAATACCATGTGGCATCGATGATTGACCAAAGCATTACGAAATCCTTAAATCGTCCGAAATCGCTGCTACGCGCTGGGGTGCCCGTCATGGCTGGCTGCATATTCGACCCACGCTTCTGTCACCGCCACTGTCCGTTCGTTCCTCTAAACGGTGCTGGGTTCGTGTCACTGTGGCGACAAGCCGTCAACATGTATCGCGCCATGTTGTGCAAGGCGGTTTCGCTTTTGCAAAAAGTTGAGTTTTCTACGATAATCTAATGTACACTCGCATCGCAGTACTGCAGATAATTTGAAACTTGAATGAAAATGCCGTGAAATTTATCTTCTTTAGTTTATGGGGCTGCGTCTTAAGACATAACTGTAGTTGTATCGATATTTACAAAAAGATGAGATTTCAAATAGCATTACTGGCAGACCGGGACTGGCTGCCGAAAGTAGAAACTGTCTCCGCTGTTCAAGGAGCTACATAGGACTTGCTTCAATGTGTGGAATTCATCACGCGATTGGAAGGCATCCAATTTATAGAATTCTCAGATGCCCTTGATTCCGTCAGTGATGTCAAAGCAAGACGTGTTCGAGACTTTTTTGCGCGGATGGTTCAGATGTGGAGTATGAAACAAATCAATCGCAAAGTGAGCTGTGCTCACACCAGTGAGGTAAAGCGAGTTCACCCCAGCACGGTCAGTACTGACTCACGCTGAGACCAAACAAAAGTCTCTCCGCATTGTTTCATGTAGCTATGCAGGTTGCCCTTGCCTTTTAAACCATTAGCAGATATTATCAGTTATGTCGGCTCCCCCGTCCTTCTAACCGTGGGTAGATGTCAGAAGTTATGCAGGTTGCCATTGCCTTAAGAGCCATGATAGACATCGCGACATTCCAGTGGTGTGGCGTGAAGCGCATTTGTGCAAATAGGTGCAATGGCCGGGCACTTCACTCAACTTCCGTACTCAACCGCAAAGGTTTTTCCATATATGTCCGATGGCATGATCAGGGACGAAAGACACGCGTCAATGTGTATGCCGATGGTAAATTTGTGGTTGGTTCACCAATCCTGCACAGTTTCTGCGTGTTTCGGTGCTGCCCTCGTGGTGGCCCGGTCGGCCCGCGCATTCGTACATCCTGAGACCTGCCAATGCCTGATACTGCGGCTGCGCGGTATCGCAAGCTGCGACATGTTGCAGTCGTGAAAATGGCAGCGAAACCATTTGTGGTTCCCGACGTTGAACCTTTGTTCTGATATCGTCTTCTTGCCCCCCCCCCCACTTCCTGTTATCCAGAATCACCCCATTATGCTTCGCAGTGCCGCCAGTTTGTGTATATATATATATATATATATATATATATATATATATATATATATATATATATATATATCATGTCCCATCTGGCATGTAATGGCAGTGGAGGCCATACATGGTATGAATTCCGTCTTTTTCCGAACCAATGTCGTACTCTTTTTACTTATTTTAAGGCTTATTCCAAACATTTTGATCGGAAAAATTTATGGGATCAACGCTCACGTTAAGCACCGGTATTTGCATGAGCCCTGATTGCACAAATCCAATGGTAAAAGTGATGGTCAAGTTAAGATGTTCCATCGAAGGTTTACTGTGCCGCAGCGCTCGACACGGTCCGTCCACGTTCTAACGTCACCTGACCTTGAGAACGGCTACTGCCGCTGGCCACAGGCCATTCCAGTCCGATGCAAGTGTGCGCCTTAAAGGGAGCTTTCGACATTTATATGCGGTTTGGAACTGAAATAGCCATCTTGAAGACCTTCCGGTGCTGTTTACAATCTTATCCTTCTTAAGACGAAAGCCCCTCTGGCTTCTGAGCTACACGCCCGTGAAAATGGGGAGAGTATTTCGGGGAGAGCATTTTAAAGTCGCCTTGGCATTTATGACGCCAGAATAACGTCATTCAAATCCAGCCATTCGTAAGCCATGCGGCGATTAAAGCCAAAAAAACTGTAATCGTCGAGGAGCTCATATCTGGCGTTCGTGAGCGCGATTTCTTGATGTAACGGCCTCAGTGGGTGTTGTATCAATATTGTGCAAGGTGTGATGACTTAACCACACCATGACGCATTGAGTATACTTACTTAACAGAGAATTGTGCTTTCTAGAGCATTTCCACTGAAAAGGTACTAATAGTGTTGTGAGGCTGTTTCATCATATCTGATGGCTGCTTTAATATCTTCAAATGTGAAGTAATGGCTTTAAAAGGAACGTTCCGCATTTGAAGACGTTGAAGCAAACATTAGATGTTATGAAATAAGCTCATTTATAATTATTGGTATACTTCTGAGTGGAAAAGACCTCTCCAGACAGGACGAACTTATGTAATCAATACGGTCCTCAATACGTCATCGTTTGATTGCGTCATGGAACGCTTGTATGACATTGAGATGCTGTCAAACTGGCCGTGTAAAATAGCCAGCCTACCATTCACTTGCAGCACTTAAGTGTCCCGAGAGGTCGCCGTGGCAGTGCCTGAGATGTTTGCTGAACCAAATGTGCCGGTGTGTTTTAGCCCTTTCCGCGGCGTTCTTGGGTATTTGTTTACAAGGTTAATGTAATCCCTTTGATTCACATTTTCGGTTATGGCGTTATTCTTAATGCATTCTATTACAATTCTCACTGCCGTAATAGCTTGAACCTATGCCAAACTTCTCGGATTATGTAGCACAAAACGTGATTCACCACTGAAGCCCGCACAGCCTGCACAAGATTGTGTTATAGC